CCCCCCCCCCCCCCCCCCCCCCCCAAAACATGAACAGGACAAAGGGGAAAGCAAGGATCTCAAACCTGTCTTTCGTTCAGCGTGGGTGTCTGTGGAGGGTAAGAGAAAAATAGGCTGCCTGACATTGGTTGTTCTCTGCTTCAGATGACCACGAGCTGTCACAAAAAAATTGATGAGCTGTTCTCTGGGAAGCTGTACCTGATCGGTATTGCTGCCATCGTGGTTGCTGTGATCATGGTAAGTGCGAGCGTATGGCAGCGCACTGATGTGCGACAGGAGCTCTGCGGCTTCAAAAGCCCAGATGACCCTAAAGGCAAGCAGGGAGCTGTGAACAGTGGCTGGGCTAGTACCAGGCTGGTCCTCCTTCGCCCCGCTGGTCCGAACCTCTCCTCTTCCCCACGTCCAAACTGCTCGTTTCTCAAGCTGGGACGTTTGGTCTCTGCCACGGGAAGGGGTTTGCTTTCTTCCCCACAAGGTATTCCCCTGCTCCCCAGCAGTTTGTGGCATTCGCTGGTAACCCCGTGCCTCCTTCAGTGCTAAAGGCTGAGCTGAAATGTGAGAGAGATCTTGGAGCATTTGCTGCGTATCTGGCAGGCAGGAGGCTTATGACGTACCATCACTGCTGCCAGAAAGAGGGGAGAACATGATCTTATCTTGAATTGGCCAGCTCCTAATAAAAACGGCATCTCTGCCTTTATCACTGGTACAAGAGTGTTTGGAAGAAAAAGGAGGCCAGGGGAACAGTGCAGGACCATGGGACGTCCTAATCTGTAGCTGGGAAGAGGAGGTGGGCTTCCCTTGTGTCACAAACCAAAGCCTCACAGGTGGCCTTGTGTCTCCTTGCAGATCTTCGAAATGATCCTGAGCATGGTGTTGTGCTGTGGCATCAGGAACAGCTCTGTGTACTGAGATGTGAGAGCTGGGGAGGGGACGGGACGGGGGGAGCAGGGCGGACGGCGCTAGAGGGAACCCCAAGTGCCACCAAGTGACCAGGAGACATTTCAACAAAAGACAAAGAAAACTATGTATATAAATACTTCCAATATTACCATTCAGTACTTATCATTTTTATTTTGAAGTACTTTTTTTTTTTTTTAATAAATAAAACTTTCCCATATCCTTCTGGCTGAGTTAGTTACACATCAGTTTTGTGTGATAGGGAAAGCTGCTGTAGCAGGAGTTTTAGTCCTTCCTACCCCTTCCCACCCCAGTAATTCAGAGATAATGTTCATGGAAGATGTACAGAGCAAAAGGCTGCAGCCTATTATCAGAAATCTTTGCCTTGGTTTTTACTCTCTTTTTCGATACTGACTTTTGTTTTTTATATATACGTAATTGGATGCTGAAGCAGGATTTAGCATTCGTTCATTGGTTCTCATCTTTTCCACCCGTCACCCCAACTCCCTGGTGTTTCCAAGTCTGGCTGTAACTGCCTGAAGCCTGGTAGAAAGGAGAGGAAGCGGCCCCAGTCGCCTAGGTGAGATGTACCCAGGGGGATATGGGGATGGATTGTTCCTATCGAACCTGTTTGCGTTGCTAGATAAACTATTAACAGAACATTTAAATTTTTCAGCCTCTGAAGAGTGGGGATGTTTATGGCTTTTTGCTTTCTTCTGGGGGCTGTAAATTTGTAAATTGACTCATTTACGTTGACTCATTACATTGAAGGGTCAGTGCCTGGGGTGAATTTAGTCTTAGTTTTTCAGATTTAACAAACTGAAAATTAAGTCACTTTTTTTTTTTTTTAAACTTCCTTGAATTTTTCTTTATAGACATATAATGTTTTGGGGAGAGTCTAGTGCTGTACTTAGTTTTTAGTGTTATGCTAATGCTTACATACAAATGATATTGGAAAAAAAACTTGAAAAAAAAATCCTTAACTTTAAAAATCATACATTTATATTATACAGGATAACTTTGGGGGGCTCCCTGCCATATACATACACATTTGAAATTTAATCTTTGTATCACTTTCTTGTTCAACAAAATTGTCCTTGCTTGTAGCATATTGTCACACACATTAACATTGCTAGGAAGCTTTCCTAACTTGGACAAAATGTTTATTTTTAAGACCTTCCATTTCCGATGATATTAACAGTAGGAAATCAGCTTATCAAAGCAAGGGAATTCAGGAATTTCGATGGCACCAGTTGAAACACTTTCTTGTGACCTGCTATGCTTTGATTGCCAATGAGATGTATGTGGCTTCTAGCGTGCGCCACCCTGGCGAGGTAGCGGGACAGCTGCTACCGTGTACATAGAGGGGTAGGGTGACCCAGGTTCTATGTAATTAAAATTAGAGTGTCTCTAAAAAGATGATCTATATGTATAGTTCTATAGATATATATTTTTAAGCAAAGCCTTTTCCTTATATTATGGGCACTTGAGCTGGAAATGGTAGCCTCTTTCAGCTCTTTGCCACATTGAAGCAGATAAGAGGAGGAGTTAAAATTTGTCATCACCTTCCTCGCTTCAGGAATATTTCTATTTCTAAAGTGTTTTGCTCTCCCCTTCACCTTGAAGCTGTGACGAAGAACGCCAAATCAGATCGGGAGAGAGAGACCTGTGTTCATTTTAAGGTAGTACCTTGTCCATGGCACTTGGGTACCATAGCCTTTGCCAAAACAGGAGAGGAAATGCCTGCACTGGGGCAAACTGATCCATTCAGAAGCTTTTCTCCCCTTCCACTCACCCCTTTTCTGTTCTTGCCTTTTAGTATAGGGCCTTTAAAAAGTATATACCTATATATATCAAGTTGTGCTAGGTAAGAGGAGGAAGTGCTTCAACAGACCTTCAGTTTGAGGGGGTTGGACAAGAAATGATTCAGCCTTAGAAACAGCCTTAAAGCAACACTGCCCTGAACGTCCACTTTGTGCACATTGAGAACGAGACTAGATTTCGCAGTAGGTAGCCCTTTCCCCTACTCCCCAGCATAGATCCTTCAGGTCATCTACTCTGTTATGTGGCTATATGTATATGCATCACCCGAGCATGTGTGTTTACATATACGTGCATCAGGATTGTTAGTATACAGAATGGATGTGTAACTTGCCGCCTTTTTTGTTGACTGTTGATAAATGTGTATAAATATGCCATTAAGCATTTTGATTCTGTTTTCTTTCCTTATACTGTATTTTTGATATTGTTCAGTATTCAGTCGATGCTGTGTAAGTAGCTGAAGCTCTGTTTGAAAACGGACGGGGTCTCCCTGCAAAGAACTCGATGCAGGTCAGGCATGTCCTTGGGCACTACAGCTTTGGGGGTTTGGGTTGTCCCGTGCAGGAGCGATTGGGAGAGAGTGGTACTTTGAGAGGGCGGACAGCCGTGGGAGGAAGAACGGCAGGATGTTTGCTCAGCCCGTGTCCCTCCTGGATGGGATTCACTCTCTGGCTCCTATTAAGAGGTGACTGGTGGCGACTGCAGTGAGCTGCAGCAGCAGCTACCTCCTCCTCCAGCGGGGACGTGCTGTGGGCACCCGGCAGCGTGGGAGCCGGGAGAGGGCCTGCTGAGGTGGGAGGATCGCGGGAGGGGATGGAGGAGGAGTTTTGCAACGGGAGGGTCATGCTGTCTTCGAGGTTGTTAGCTGAGAGTCCCTGGGTTGGACTGTGTGGTCATTAGCCAGAGCAGGAGCAGGTCACCAAGGGGAGAAGGGGGAGCTGGTTTGCTTAAGAGTGATGAAGTAGCTGAGAAACCAGCATGGAGAAACTACTCACATGGGTCTTCTCTAGGCTGACCTCCTGTGATGATGGAACAGAGTTAAAACAAACACAACGGGGGCTTGCCTGTTAGCAAGTACTCGAGATCCAAAAGTGACAGAGCTCTGCAGCTAGTCAGTCCCAAAGCTGGCCAAGGTGAAGGGGAAAAACACTGAGTGGGTAGCGCTCCTAATCTTTTTCAGATACTGTCCCGCATAATTGTGTGTTTGCGTGCACAATGTGGGGCTCCATCTTGCTCTCCCTGTCCCGTTTGTGGACTGAGTTAAATTGTGGGCTGTAAATACAAACCCTCACTCTGCAGGAAGCATCTTCCCAGAGCAAGTGACACCTGAGAAAATGGTTGTAAGCCTGAGCGGGGAGGATGAGAGTGAGGGGTTGGGAGAGAGTGAACTGGCCAGGTCTGAGTTCAAAGACCACAGCACAAGGTCAAACAGAGCTGAGCTGCTGACAGCTTAACTGAATGCTTGGGATTCTTTCCGAATGTGGAGCATGCCACAAAGCAGTGTGTTTAACTTCTTTCTGCCTTTCTTTTTTTTTGTTTTTTAAAGAAACAAAACAAAAGTCAATTTAATAAACGTTTCTCATAGTGTGCATAGCGTGATAAACCACTGCAGTCTACAACCAATTAACCTTAACACCAGGATGCTTTGTGAACCAGGCTTCAACAGCACAGGCTTAGCAGCCTCTGGGACGGGGTAGGTGGGCAGGCTGGGGGGGCGTCCGCAGCGGTGCCAAGGGGAGGCAGATGCTGCTCGCTGGCAGCAGCGGCTGCTGCAATTGTGCCCCCCTTGAGCTGGGGGGGGGCACAGCTGTGGGGGAGCTAATACATATTGCAAAATCTGATGACTGTGTTGAAATTTAGGGGGGCAGAGGTGGCAATACTGTGCATGCTCAAGGGGCTTCTCCTAAAGTGACGGGGAACAGCCCTAAACACCCTCTGCTGACACTGTTTCTGCCACTGCCTGCCCCTCTGCACCATCGGGGAGAGCCCTGCTGAGAGGAGAGCCAGGGAGGAGGCCTAGCGCTGTGATCCCACAACTGCCTGCCTTTCTTTGCCCCATCTTGGGACTTTTCACTGCTTTTGTAGCACGGATGTCCGGAGGCAGCCCCCAGCCCTTGCTGCTGCTGGTACAGAGAGGGAGAGAGCGCGGGGCGAGGGAGAGCTATGTTCAGCTGCCTCCAAAGAAAGGCAAAAAGCCCTGCTCCCGGCAGCTGTGCCCGTGCTAAGAGATCATGCCCATCTGTTGTTCTTTCACTTGTTTACCTGAATGTTAATGGAGTCGGACATAATGACTTCTAGAAAGAAAAAAAAATTGATATTTAAAAACAATAAAAAGAAACAACACAAAAACCTTTGTTAGTGGATTTTTAATGATGTGTTGTCAGAGCTTGTTTCTTTCCAATGCGTGCAGACTTCTGCCACGTCTTCCAAGAGAACAGCGTTGCTGGTTCTTGTATTCAAGCAAAATTTAGGCTTTAGGGAATGCAGTCCTTGGATGACCCTTGAGGTGGTTTCCCATGAATAGGATGTTCTTTGCTTCCTGCCTTAAAACATTTGGGTTGTGGTGCTGTATTGTTGCTCCAGATGGGGATAAAATTATTCCTGCCTCTTTGGAGCTAGGATTAACCTGATATGAGTCACTGTCAGACTCAGGCTGGTGTTCAACAGAGACAAATGATAGTGGAAACAAACTGGCAAAGCACAGTATGTATTTGGCATCGGAGCTACGTGCAGGAACAGCAGCGCCTTGGGATGTTAGCCCTGAAGCATAGCTGGGTTCTTAAACCTCCCCTGGCTAAATGTGATCCCCTCTGCTGGCTCCTTAGGTCTGAATATTAACACTGATGTGCTCAAAACAAATGAGTCATACGCAGTGCTTGATCTGAGATGCTGAGAGAAGAATCAGCCTACCAGGCCCCTTTAAGGTGCTGTTAAGCAAAAACACTAGTTATTCTTGGAAAATAGCAGCCCTGCTGGGTAGGAGCATGTGAGGCCGCACGGATAAAGCCACTATGAAGGGAAGGGGTGGGTGGAAAACTTGCAGCTTGCTTGTTCTCATGTTACACTGACAAGGACAACTTACACTTTTTTTTTCTTTTTTTAAACTTTCATCTTCGGAGGCCTGCAGAGCTTAGAAAGGAAGGAATAGTCAGAATAGTCACTAGAGACATTACTGTGGGCTTTGACTCCTATGAATATTTTTGTGCATCCTTTTCTGTCAAAGAACAATTTTCACAGATAATGTAAGTATGAATTTTTCTAAGCTATAGCAAGTTGGGACTTTTTTCACTGAAATTCTGTCTCCCCTCCCCAACTGTTTTTTTTAAAAATGTCTAAACTGTTTCCCTTTTCAACTGGAAGTTTGGAGGTTATTTTTGCTTTGGCCAGCTCTATTTCATAAGTGGATTCTAGGCTTTTAAAAGTAGCAACGTGCCTAATTGTTTCCCACTAAGACAGTTGGGACCAACAGGGAAGGCATAAATTGCTATGTCCCTTCCTTAAGAGGTTGTTTAAGCTCTAATCAGGTCTCGCAACATTCCCACAGAGGGAAAATCGAGCCAGTCCTCCCATAGGAGAGCTGTTCAAGGCAGAGGTTGCTTTGTAGAACAAGGGAGGGCAGCACCCTCCCTGCTGGATGCTGGCTGTATGGTTCCCCCCTTCCCTGGCTGTCAGCTCCACTTTCCAGGGTGGGTGATGAAGAGCCTGTTACACAGTGGCTGTGCCCAAATTCCTGCTCTGAAGTGTTTCCTTTGCTGGGCGTGGCTGTGTGGTTCTTCCAACTGCAGGAGAAGAGGGAATTTCAGTTCCAGGGCAAGCTCAAGCTGAGGGAAACGTGACGGTGCAGGCATCAGGACATTGGCTCTGTGGTGGGATCAAAGCTCTGGCGCTCACGAGAGTCAGTCTCGCTGAGGACGCAGACAGTGGTCTATCTCCTGCCAGTTGCCAGCTCGCGCTGTGTCTTGGTGGAGGTTCAAGCTAGGTGAGAGTTCACTGGAGGCTGTCTCAGCAGGGCATGAGCTCTGGCATCCAGCTGGTGGATGGCTATGCGTTACCACCACTGTTAAAACACATCCACTCTAGCTGTCTTAGCAGGGTGGAGACAAAATGCCAAAGTTGTGAGGATGTAGGGAGGTAACTTGCCGTTTGGAGAGCCCCCAAAAAAGAAACTTGCTTGCCTGTGAAGCTATTGTCAGGGCTAGGTGAGCTGCTGACAGTCAAGGAGGCCTTCAGAAAAAAGCAATCATTTCAACAAGCTTGTTTGCTAGCAGGGCTAGGAACCAGTGGCTGCGCAGATGAGGTGAATGGGAATGCGGCCCTGAGCGAGGGAACATCTGCTCTCAGTGAATGCTGAAGGGGAGATGCAAACATAACTACGTGACTCGGTCTGCATTAAGTGGTAAAGACACAGACTAGAAACCAAAATCTCTAAGCACAGAACTGCACAGTTTAGCAAAAGGTGAGGTGTTAATCCAGTACGTTTTTGCCTGACCATTCCTACCAATTTCAACACAGCATCAGATTACCTGGCACAGGGCATACCCTAAGCAGGAGGCTCCATAGGCAAAAGTGTACTATTTCAATGTAAATGCTTTGGCCAGCCTCTGGCACTTGGTGCGTATGAAGTAGGCAGCTGGATGCTTTCACTTCAGAGCCCAGGGAGCTTGAGCAAAAAGAAAACAGCACGCAGCCAACTAAGCATGGTGTGTATATGTTTTCACATTTGCAGATGCGTTACAGAGAGTATCTTTGCAGCTGGGCATGAGAATGTGGATTGACTGGTGTTTCCCCACTAGTTTTAGATGAGCCAATGAGCCAGCTCAAATGCCAGTGGTTGCAAGTAATATTTCTAATTAAAAGCTAATTACTTTTTTTTTTTTTTAAGTATTTCTTGGCCCTGTGTTTCTAGGGCACTAACTCATGTTAGAACACAGCTTTGCTGAGTACCAGTGAGGTGTTGGTGTTAGGTAGGCAAGACAGCTTGTGTATAACACTGTGCCTGCAGGCTGGGAGTAAGCTGGGGAGTTTCCCTCTGGCAAGGTTTAGAGGTGTTAAACGCAAATCTCTGTGTTGACTATAAAGTCACATCAGTTAATGAAGTGTCTACAGGTTATGTTCTAACAGGAGGTGTGGGGAGTTTTAGGGGGTTTGTGGTTTGTTTTTTTTTTTAATATTAACTTCAAGGCACTCGACTAGTTCAAACGCTCTCTTTCAGCCCTGCTCAACTGCAGTATTAAACACACTGGGGCCAATGATAGGAAAGAAAAAAAAAAGAGGTGAGAATTAGGAGAAAGCTTTTTAGTAAAAATATGCTGTAGCTAAATCAAAATGAACAGAGGGTCCCCCAACTATTTGGGGTTTTGTTTTGTTGTTTTTTTAAATTTGAAACAACAATTGCACAGCACATTAATTTGGTCCTAAACAATTTCAGCTCCTGCTCCCCCTCAGATGTCGTGTGTGGCATCTCCTACACATACATGGTCTCTAACAGAGCAAGGGATGCAGGTTCTCAGCACAGGTCCTCTCCAGGTCAAGCAATAACATTGGTATTTGAAAGAACAGGTTGATGGAAACTGGGGTTTGGAGCTTCATGGCCTGCCTGTATTAAGACTAACGTCACAGTAACTACTTTGATAATAGTTACCTTAGGGGAAAAAAAGCACCAACATGGATAAACAGCACTGAAATAAATCAAAACTGCTTGCAGGTGAACCAGGACCAAATAAAAATACTAAGCAAAACTAGTGAGCAAAACTCTGTGTAGAAGAGTGTCAAACATTGAGCTCCTGGAAACTCACCCAACAGGATTTCATGGCCACTTGTAGACTTTCCTTCCTGCAAATGGGAGAGGGCAAATCTGATTATTTCCTTCAGCCACTACCTTTACCCCATTCTGCCCTGGTGCAGCTGCATCCTCCCAGCAGAGGACAATATGGTCTTTATTACTGTGCTATTACTGATTTTGGCTATAGGAAAATACTCCTTTCCCTCCCTACTTCCTTTCAGGACCTACAGCATCAGCTAAGCATAGCCAGGTCAGACTCACTTCCATCCTCACTCCAGATGCATAACGAGGTGAAAAAAAATGCATCTGCTTGCTCTCTCTGGCTTGCAGGATCTCAGTGGCTCACTTGTGTCCGACAGATACCGTGCCACTATTGCTTCCTAGTCCCCCACTGCAGAGACCTATGGCAACCGTTGCAGTCCCACCATAAGGAGCTTCCCCCATTTCTGAGGAATTGCCCCTTTCCAATAGCCATGAGGACAGGGGCAGGAACTGCCTGCCAGCGTCTACCCTGGCCTCTGACAGCAGAAGCAGCAGGAACCTGCCGGCTGAGTAGCAGAACCTGTTACCAGATGGGCACCAACTGACAGATGCGTTTGCAAGAAAGGAGCATGAAGCTCCCACCAGCAGGGCTGTGATGTGTATGCATTCGCACAGGCCACCCCCGCATGCAGGGAGGTGCTGGCTTCCTGCAGGCGCACAGGGCCACCTCCTCCAAGAAGCCCACGCCGTGGTGGAGCTGGCTCCTTGGAGCTTGCACACAGAACACGCCGCCCTCATTTGGATGATTTCCCGCACCACAGTTAGAGCCGCGATCCAGCCCCTCATCCCTCTTCAAGCCACCTTAGTTCATATTGGCTAGCGGAAAACGCTTTACCATCTGTTCATCTTCAGGGCCTGACTCATTATTTTTATTTCAGCTGTCACCAAGCAATAGCAAAAAAATCCCAACACACCAGTATATCCACCACTACAAACTGCCTTGTCCTCAGTCACCAGAAAAAAGTAGCTCATCCCCGGATTGCTGCAGTGTGTGGTACTGATCTTCTGCAAATAGGCAGGAAGGAGAAAATGGGTACAGCCAGCTTCTGAAGGTGACTTTGGCCATTAACAGACATAGCTTCCAGGTGAAAACTGAGCAGTGACTAAGCCTAGCAATGCCAGTGGCCTCCACAAATCTAGGAATGGGGCTTGTCCCTGAAGGCACCCGGATTCGTGGATGATGGAGAGACTGGAGGTGGCGTAGCCCTTTTCTGCCCTCCTGAGCTCCTAACTAACGTAGCATTACAACCAGGTTTTAAACCATTTCATCCATTTGCACCAGACCTTCTCTGTCTCCACCCTTACAAAAAAAAGGGATATGTCACTGCCTACTCCACATCCTTTCCTTGCCTCCTCCTTTTTACTCTCCGAGATTCACTCCTGGTACGTCCCTGACATGCTACACAGCGTTACACAGACTTTACCTGTGTTTTAGTCTTATTTCCCCTTTCAGATGGTTTCCTTGCCTGTTTACTACCCTCCCCATACCTGCTCCTGCTGATGTACCAGAGAACTCTTCCGCTCCTCCTCCCTCCAGCCCGGAACCCATTTTAATGGCTGTGATCACACTATTTTCAAAAAGGATCACCAAATGGGGAAACACCTCTAGAACTGTTGACTTAAAACTGCAGCACAGCTCTGGCCAGACGAAAGACATTTTGTGCTAACCTTGTTACTGCTGCCAAACGTATTCCAAACACAGCTCTCATCTCATAAATTACTCATCTCATAAATTACTGTAGTGAGCAACACTCCAGAAGGCAAAAGTGTATATATATTTTAAAACTCACAATACAAATGGCTGCAGCTTATATTACAGATGACTCACAGCGAGGCCCCTCTTGAAGGGCTTCTGTGAAGTCTTTTAGGACACAGACACAAACTTACCTTTTGGCAAAGAAACCGAGATGAAACAGGGTTTGGATGCTGTGGAAAAAAAGGTGCCACCAAAATCCAAAATGGTAGGACTCCACCAACAGTTCTGTCTTTTGTTGCAAAACGATGATATAAATCATCTACAAGGCCTGGACTAAGTCCTATGTTTCTCTTAATCCTTCAGTGCTGGGCAACCCGATTAAGTAAAGGCCTGACCTTTAGCAGCTCAGACCCTTTGTAGGCATTAATTTAATTCCATTTAATGACGAAGCCCCCACAATCATGCGACACAGTAAGGGTGCGTGACCCTGCGGAAGGGTGGAGGGAAAAAGGAAAATCCTGCAAACTTCTGTACCACATGCTGCGTGTATGGCACTCAAAGAACAAACCTTGCTCTTTTTTTTCCTGAACACACTGTAAATGAGCTAAATATTGAAGTCACTTGAGAAGTCTATTTTCACTGGAAATTTAAACTTTTCACTGAACGAGGGGAAAAAAAAATCAAGCACCTTTGGCCAAAACCAATAAAACATTTTTAGAAAGAATTCCACTTTTCCATGCATACACATTATGTTCTTCTGGGACAGAAAATGGAAACTTTCTTTTTTTGGCTGGACACTGGTTTTATGCCTCTAGTGACTTGGAAGTCTTCTGGTTGAAAAATAAATACATACAAATTAAAAAAAAAAAACAAAAACAAAACAAACACCAGACACTTCCTCTGACATTTTCACTGTGGCCAAACGCCTACTTTTCCGATGAGAAAAAAGGCTCTGCTGGACGTGTTTCTGCCAGGCGGCTGCGGGGATGCTCGGGAGGCGGCGGCGGTGCCCTCCGAGGGGCCGGCTCGCCGCGGGGCCGTTAG